GGACTTGAGCCCAGATCTCCTGGCTCCACAGACGAGGCAGTCCAACACTTTGCTTTACTGAACTCTACTCTGAAGGCCTCAGAGGTGAGGGAGACCAGTGGATACAGACTCACACAGATGGACGGGCATTTCGGCGCATACTCACCGCTAAGCCTTGCTCAGAGAGGCTGGGTGGAAGCTCCAGAAAGTGGCCTCTCCTGTGGATGTGGACACAAGGATGTGTGTGGACAGAGACCTTTAACCGAGTGCCTAGTGAGCACTGAGTGGAACTACTGTCTCCTTCTTCTCCGGCTGGCTCTCATGACAGATTAGGTAACAGACAACGCCAGCATGGTGCTGACCTCCCCACACTCAGGAAGCCAACTAGGCTTCAGACGTGGAGGTTGCACCTGTGATGCACATCACCAGCCGAAATTCAAAATGGGACCAGGCCGTCAGACATCGTCGGCCATTAGGGCATCTCGAGCCAACAGGGATGGCAAAAAGCATCGAATTAGGCCCGATGAGATTCTCAGGGCTTTGTTACATATTTAATCAGCTGCTTACTAACAATTTCCCCAGACAAGCTTATGAGATAAGGCCTCTGTCCTTTGTCCTCTGCTTTAGGAAATGCACCCATGGCTCCCCAGACCCTGTCACCGCCTGGGGTGTAAGCTGCTCCTGAAAAAGTCGGGTTTTGCAGGCTCAGGAGCACAGATCCCAGGGCTGCTCCAGGACCTACTAATGGGTTTCCAGGCAGGCAGTGGAAAGAGCATGGCTTTGAGAGTCCTGCCTCTGCCACGGACTGAACTAGGACTTTGGACACTTGGTGCTCTTCTCTGGGCCTGTTTTCCTGTCTCTAAACCCAAGAGGATTAGACTAGTTTGGGTATGGGAACACCAGGCATCCCTGTCCACATCCCTTGCCACCCCCAGAGCAGACATAGCTAATCAGTGGCAACATTCTTTCCATGAAGCCAGGACTCTGCTTCAGAATCCTTCTTAACACAGAACCCCAATCAACTACTACCGATAAATCAAAGTTGATCTGCAAGAGGAAATCTGGTTGCCGTCCTTGGCCTCACTGATCTCAGGAGTGTCCCTCAGCTCTAAAGATCTGCCGTTGTCCTCCTCATATGCCAGAAGGTACTGAAAGACCCTTTGCCGCCTATGTCCCAGCTCTCTGATATCTTTTTTTTCCTGATTTTCCTTGGACTCCCTGCATCTTGGCTGGAAACTTGGAGCTACATTTATGTGTCAGGGGATATACAGACAGGAGGAAGAGACCACATGGTCTCAGAACAGATGCCCTGGTACCCAGAACTCAGCTGTAGCCTCAGGCTGTGGTGAATCAATCTCTGCAGCTTTCTGGCCAGTCCTGCTGAGTTGTGGTTTTGTAGGCAGCAGGTCTCCCCCACTGTGACCACCCCTGGGCATGGGGACACCGATACAAAGTGATAAGGACACATGAGCACCTCCAGGCAGGGTGGTGGCCACCAGAGCCAATTGTGAACCTGCAAACCTGGGACACTTTCTTGTGCTTGCTGTTTAAAATACCATTGAGATATAACCTCATTTACTCTACATCATGGCTGCACACACTCACACTACACCGCGGCCTCACAGTTGCTGGGATGGCCTTGTTGGGCAAAGACAGAAACACTCCTGGGCTTTCCTCTTAAAGACTCAGTCCCACAACCTGGAGAACAGACACGTCCAACCTGCAGCCCGTGGGCCACATGTGGTCCAGGACAGCTAATAATGTGGCCCCACAAAATCATTTAACATCCTGTGTTTTTTAGCACTGATTTTCCTAGTGGCCTCATGCATTTTTGAAGTTCACAGTCATGTCTTATTCATGACACCGCTTCTTTGCAGCACACGCATTTGTGAGCAGCTGTTTTCAATTATGAAACACACAAAGAGCAAAATTCGAACAAACATTTCCAATGAGCACCTTGAGAACTCACTAGGAACTCCAAACACTTCCACCGAACCAGACACGGATAGATTTGTTTGACAAGAACAAGGTCAAATTTCCCACTAGTTTTATATTGTTCTCATTTTTCTAAACTTTATAATAAGATAAAAAAAAGAAATCTATATATCTACACTAACTATATTGTATAATTTATGTGCGGCCCAAGACAATTCCTCTTTACTCGATGTGGCTCAGGAAAGCCAAAAAGTTGAACACCCCTGCCGTAGGAGATAGACTGCGGTCACTACAAATCCTGACTGCGCTTCTGCTCTGCACAGCTCCTTACGCCCTTCAACAGAACACAGAGGCCACATTAGAAAGGGCACTGCAGCTGCCACCTGCCTGGGACCCGAGTGAGACAATAAAGATGACAAATATATAGCGACCCGCAAACAATCTATCAATCTTTAGACATGTTTCTACTCGATCAAGACTTCACTTATAAAATGAAGACTCTTGAGGAGAGAAAAAGACATTAGGTAAATTCAAAGGGCAGGTTTTCAACTTCAAAACCACACTTTCTTCACGTGTCAGGGAATCTTAAAAACAAGGCATCACATAGCAGGAGGCTAGTTCAATTCCACATGTGTTTGGAATCACATAGTAGGAGCCCCGTGGCAGCAAATCCTAAGGAGGACACCGGTCCTGCCCTCGGGGAGCTCCTAGACCAAGAGCAGAGATAACCTGACGGAAGACAACTCCTCTGAGAGGCCCCAAGGGTTCTGCAGATCTGTTCACAGCCACGAGGAATGGCTCTGGTCTTGAGAGGAAGGGAGGCTTCCTGGAGGAGCTGGCCTTTTGAAATAAGCCTGGAGAGAGACGCAGGGAGGTTTTCCACAGTGGGAGAGGCAGTGCATGCAAAAGCCCAAGCCGATCCCCTGGGAAAGATTCAGGAGGGTAATTCTGGCTGAAAAGCAGGGGAGAAGGCAAGTAGGAGAGGCGTTCCAGGAGCTGGGTCAAGGGGGGTGGCATGGGCTGGAAGGTCCGACGAGGAGGTGCTGTGTCATGGAAGGGCCACACGAGAAGGACTCCAACAGAGAACAGAGCATCAAGGATCCAGGATGTCAGCTCTGCTGGAAATCAGCAGACGCCACAGCCAGCCTGACCTTTAGAGTCTATCAAGCTCGAGGGTTTCGCTTTGTGGGAGCGGATGACAGTTCAGAGAGGATGCCTGGCCCGAGACCACACTCACCCAAGGGCCCCTGCCAGCCTGAAACACAGAGTTCCTGTGTGAGCCTGAGGCACCCACTGATGAGTTCTGTTTGACGACAGGCTCTGCAGAGAGGTGGAAGACAGCATGGATGCAGTAGACTGGACAGCAGCCCTGCAGGTTCCAGAGCTGAACATGGCAACAAGACTGGGTCATCACGGCACCAAGGTCTTCCGGATCAGGTGTGGCAGGGATCCGAATTTCGTGGAATGATGAGCCTTTCTGAGCTACAGAGGGACATATCTAAAGCTGGAGGGTAAGATCTTCCTATGGCGGGTTTAGTTGAAAGCTAAGCTCCATGGTCCAATATATAGCCTCCAGTCACAAGTGGCTATTGAAAGTTAAGTTTAAATTAATAAAAATTATACAGTGCTAGAAACCTGATTACTAAGTTGCTTTAGACACTGTTCAAGAGCTCGATAGCCACATGTAGCTAGTGGCTACTGCATCAGATGGCACAGAATAGAGCACTTCCATCAAAACAGAAAGTCTGGTCGGACAACAGTGATTTAGAGCAGGAGTCAGCTGTGTCCCGGCGTGCGAGCCAAATCCAGCTGCCACTTGGTTTTCTAAATAAAGTTTTCCTGGAATACAGCCACACCCATCATTTACGTACTGGGTATGTCTCCTTTTGTGTTACAACCGCAGGGCTGAGCAGTTACAACAGAGACACCATGGCTTGCAAAGCCTAAGATACTTCCTGACCCTTTCGAATAAAAGTTTGCTGACCCCAGGTCAGAAGGGGTCAGCAAAGTTGCATGAGGATCATTTCTCTAAAGTTGTCCGTTGGCATCTCTAGGAGCCACTGATGGGTCCCAAGCACACGTCTTTCCTCAAAAGAAGACAGGGAATATAGAGCTGTCCGCCTCACTGCTAGGCCTCGTGGGGACACAGGATGTCCACCCCAAGCAGGCGCCTTCTCTAGCGTGACCGACCTCAGAGAGAGGCAGTAAGGTGTGACCTTTGGGTGGCCTCAAGTCTACCCAGAAAAACCACACACCAAAAGGATCTCACCATTTGCTTTCTTTATTTTGTTCATTCTTCCCAGTTCATGAGGCAGCAACATTAATACAAAGTGAGACACACAACGTTTTTTTCCTTGCATAATTCAATAACCCCTCTAAAAGCGACACTCCACAGGTAGCCTTAAGACTTTTTCATTACATTGAGGCCACTTGGGCAGATCTGACGTCCTACACATCAAAAATAACTCCCGGACTGCTGTTAGGAGCGCTCAATTCTATGAAGGGGAAGAACCCCTAGCAAGGAGAGAGTTGCAGGCCAGTACCCTTCTGGAACTTTCCAAGGAGGCTAAAGGGAGAGTCCGGCTAACTTCACTAGACCCTCATGAAGGCTGCCACCTCTGTCTCTCCCTGCCTAGGAAACCCCCAGGGCTACTGGGTCATCAGGGGGCTGCGGGGATCTTTGTGGACCGAACATGCAGGACGCCCCAGGCCTACTGCCCAGCAATCCTCCTGGGCTCTCTCCTTTTGCGAACACAATCCTTTGTTCATAAACTGAGACAAGAGGCTCACTTATGCTCACTTGGTCACGTCCCCATTGTCAACAGAATGCAGAACTTATTTGTAGCAGCTTGGAATGTCCCAGGGCCAGAGAAAGCCGATTCTCTTCGGATGCCTGTGAGCATCTCAAATGGCAACATTTGGGACCACCGGGCTGGGCAATGCTGCAATTCTAGCTGTGCAAATTGCAAATGCATGTGGACCCCCTGCTGTCATGCCTACAGGGACGTACTGGTTTCCCTATCTCTGCAGCCAGGAGGCCCTGAATGGGTGGGCTACTCTCTACCAGCCTTTCTTTGCTGCTCTGCCCAAGTTATTTGGATAAATGGGAACAAAGAAAATAAAATATCCTCAGCCTCCAGCCCTCCCCTTTGGGGCCTCCTTTGCACCACACGCTTTCTCAGGCACTTCTTCAATTACAGAGAAAATGACACCAAGCAAGTCTGCTATGGAGCTACTACCGGATTGGTTTAGTCTGCCAGGGGTCCGGGACGGGTCTCGAGAGCCCAGAGGGTCACCCGCGCTGTCGCCGTTTCCGCCCTCGCAGCTTCAGCCGCCTGGCTGGCAGGCTGACAGGCTGCTTCCCAAACTTCTCCATAATCTCTCGGATCCTGGCCATGTTGGTTTTGCTGAGCGTAAAGTCACACCGCGTGGCCCCCATGTCGTAGCCGACCGCACAGTTCTTGGTGGATACGGTGAAGCCTTCTGCCTTTGCCGTGACCACATAATCTCCGGGGTTCAGGAGGCGCCAGTAATCCCCATCATTGGCTGTGAAAAGAAAACCGGGGGAGGGGGAAGCTCAGAGCAGTTCTTTTCTAAAGCAGATACTGCTAAGCTTATTCCAAGACCAGCCCACCAGGCAAGGAAGAGAGACGGCAGGCGGTGTGGACTCCCCAGCTCCTGCAGCACATTCTTAATGCATTTTGGAAGCCCCGATGTTTTCCTCTCTGAAAGCTGCCTTAATGGTTTTAACAGGAAGAGGGTGGGGGCAGGCTCCCTGCAGTGTTAATCCACGTGAGAGAGGCAGAACCATACTCCCTGCTCTGTGACCATACAAGTAATTCCTCATAAACTTGAACCTCCACACAGCATGCTCTCACAACACACCATCAGTGTGTGGCCTCCTGGCTTCCTTTAGCATGGCTGCAAATGAAAATAACGTTTTGTTTTGAGTTGGAGTCTCACTCCGTCGCCCAGACTGGAGTGCAGTGGCCGCTCCCGGCCACCGCAGCCTCGACCTGCCGGGCTCCGGCGATCCTTCCGCCTCAGCCTTCCGAGTAGCCGGAATTACAGGCGTGCGCTACCACGCCCGGCTGATTTTTTGATTTATTGTAGAGATGAGGTCTCGCTGCCCAGGCGGGTCTGGGGTGGGGCTCTTCACTTCTGGAAAGAGAAGGACTACATGGGCAGAGGCCAAATATCCTAGGAGAGGTCTCAGCATCTGCGCCTCATTCCTTGGCTGGGGCCTGGAGAGACTTGGAACCGCAAGGGCATCTACACACGGATGATGAGAGGCAGAGAGGGCCTTGAGTCCTGATGAGGCCATGCTAGGGTGGAGGCCAAAACCTCTGCCTCCCTGGAAACCACTGACAGTCATCCACCACATACCTCACATGGCCCAGTCCATCCTTAGGGGCAGCACAAAGACGGGTTCTAGACCAAGGCCACTCCTCCCAGAGGCCTACAGCCTGGCAAGAACACTAGATCCCTGGCACGAGAGGCAACTATTCAGGAAAGGAGATACCTGAGCCCCTCGCGGAGAATGCAGTGCCTGTACGTGGAAGGGTGAGACTAGCATGACCCATCGAACCCTCCTGATGCTTAATTCCTTTTCTACATGAGTAACTTTGATGCCCAGAGAGGTGTAATATTCCACACAAGGTCACACAGGCAGTCATCAGCAGTCTTTTGCTTGTGACAATCTGAAAGTCCTGCCCAGTCTAAAGCTTTGGGATCAGGTAAAGAAGAGAAAAGCCCTGATTTGGTCAAGCGCTAAGAAGGCTCTGGGTAAATTTTCCTTGTTTAAACAAGTCCTGAAGTCTTCTAAGAGATGGAAGAAACTCTGTGTGCGTGTGTGCATGCGTGTGTGCGTGTGTGCATGCATGTGTGTGTATGTGTATAAATATGTTATCTCCCACATATTAACGCTCTGAAGCATTATGTTTAAATTCACATTATACTCTTGATTCATCTAAGATACCCCATGCAGGGCAATGAGCTCACAGGAGCACGAGATGTTATTGAAAGTGAAACACAGCTGGGCGCAGTGGCTCATGCTTGTAATCCCAGCACTTTGGGAGGTGGAGGCAAGAGGATTGCCTGAGTCCGGGGGTTTGAGACCAGCCTGGGCAAATTGGCGAGACCTCATCTCCACAATAAATCAAAAAATTAGCCGGACATGGTGGCACGTGCCTGTAGTTCCAGCTACTTGGAAGGCTGAGGCAGATGGATTGCCTGAGCCCCGCAGGTCGAGGCTGCGGTGGCCGTGAGCGTGCCACCGCACTGCAGCCTGAGCAACAGAGTGAGACTCAAAAAAAAAAAAAAAAAAAGTGAAACACGAGGCAGTTGGCCACAGGTACTTCCAGTTAGCTGAATAGTGAACAGGACTCCATCTGAGAGGCCTAGGCACACACACACAGGTGTCAGTTCCCTGAGGCTTCTCAGGGTCTTCCAAAATGCCAAAAAGGTTGGGGACCACTGGGTTATGGCATTACACAGCAGTCTACCATTCTGTGGCTGCAGACACATTTCATCCACTTAAATAGTTGACTTCCTATGCCAGGCCCATGGGTAGGTAGCCTAGCATGAAGAACACATGGGTCTGGTCCGAATCCCAGAATCACCTTGTCCTAATGTCCCAGAGTCCGTTTCCTGGCAGGTTGAATGGGATCATTTATCGATAGGACAGGATCTGTTAATATATGTGAACAGTTTGCAGAGAAGGAGCACTATGGTGATTTGGAGTCGCAAGCGCTTAGCTCAAATCGCAGCTCTGCCACTCCCTGGGTAATCTGGAAACGTTATGCCATGTCCATCCACCCATTCATTCAACAAATATTTATTAAGCACCCACTGCTTGGAGGTGGCCAAGGAACAAAACAGCCAAGGATTTCTTCCATCGAAGGGCGGGTAGAGGGAGTCAAAAGCAAACAATCAGCACAATAAATATTAGCAAGGATTAGAAGGGAGAGGTGCCATGGGGAAAAGACAAAGTTGGAATGGGTAAGAGGGATCAAGAGGGCGGCAGGGCGGGTGTGCAGTGCTCAAGAGGGCGGTCACAGTTGCCACACTGAGATGGTGACATCTGAGCAAAGGCCTGAAAGGGATGAAGAAGGAACCAAAGGACTCCCCAGGGGAAGAAAGAATAAGATTCAAGTGGAGGGAGGATCTGCAGTGGTGTCCCCACATGTGGCTGTCGGTCCACAAGAGACAGTGAAGAGCCAGGTGACAGGGAGCCATCACCCCTATTTGTCTGGGACAGGGAGGTGGAACACGACATTTTCAATTTTCAACTGGGGCATTTTAGGTGATGACAGCCCTGGGGCATAGTCCAGCACCTTCATCTTTGTATCACTTTCTAATCAGCTAAGAATAAGGCAGAGTCTCCTTGTGAATCCCACAGAGGCACTGCAGGGTATTTCCCAGCTGACCTGCGGGCCAGAGACCTGAATTTAATCTCCATTCACCTTTTAAGCCTTCGGAGGGTCAACTCACCTCTCTGAGCATCTGTTTTTCACCCGAATACATGGGTAAGACTGGCCTGCCTCTGTCAAAGGGATAAAGTGAGAAAAGAGGTGACAGAAAACACACATGGAAGTTCTCTGAGAACAGAGCATGTGAGAACTAGCACCATGGTCCGGCTGTTGCTTAGGGGCCCGGGGACTGCAGGACAACCTTCTGCTGTCCTGTGGCACCATGACCCCTTTATAAGTGCAGTTGAAAACATGAGTTGGTTTTGGCATCTTAGGAACTGGAAACCGAGGTTGGTTTACAAGATCCCAGGTCTTACAAGCCCTTCCTTCCACGTCAAAGAGAGTTGAAATAAGATACCAGTACTGCCCTTTAGAGATCTTCCTCTGACCCTCGGATTATCCAAGATTCTAGAATTTTCTTCTCTCCACCAAATGGAAATCATGCCTGCCCACTTACATCACCAGTCACTTGTCCCTCACAGCAAGTGGGAACAGGGTCTCCCTGCAGTGTTTCTTCACAGCCTCATTTCTTCCTCTAACGATAACATTGAGAAAATTGATAGTTGTAAGGAATAACTGAGTTAACACATGAAAGCTATGAAGAGAGTGGCACATAGGGGATGCCAAAGCTTATTGTTACTGCTATTATTATCCTACTCTTTACACTACAGACGCCCGAGTCTTCCTAAAACATCGCGTTCGGTGGCTTCCTGCTGTTTCACACACACAAAAATCACATTCTCTCTGGATGGGTACTGAAGGCCTGCCTCCTGGCTGCTGTCCCTTCAACTCTCCACCCAGCACTGCTGCGCTCCACCCCAGCCTGGGCTTTTCTCTCTGGGGAGGAGCCTGTCCCTGACCCTCCACCTGCTGTGCTCACTGGCACAGGCCACATTCTGCCTGGTCTAGGAGCTAAGCTGCCCACGTATATAACAACCACTACAGAGAGAGCTGCTTCCTCAACTTCTCAGAAACTTTCATGGCACCTGGAGGGCCCTGGCTGCTCCATGCCCATCCTATCAGGGGACAGAGAGAGGCCAGAAAGCACAGGCTGAAAACCTCATTCTCAAGGGTCTCTTGGGAAGTGGAAAGTTAGAAGAAGGAGACTCTAATTCAGCTCTGAGGAAGAAACTTCTGGCATTCAGCTCGTGATTGTAACCCAAGTAAAACACTTCAAGAAAAGGGCTCCGTTTCTTACCAAGAGACAGTTTGTACACATTTCACAGTTACCTGTTCGAATGTCATGGTCAACACCTTCCACGGAGATAATGGCATTTGGAATTCCTTTCCCGTGTAAATCTCTCACCATGCCTTTGATGCCACGATGAACCTGCTCGGCAAACATGATGAGACACAGGATGAGGTTGCTGACCAGCTCTGGACACAACCAGCAGAAAGGAGTGGCCTATAAACCCAACGTCAACCCAATCTCCACCAAGAACACACCTAGCACCGTGTCTCACTCCAAAGCTGACTCTGTATGGACTTTGTATGCGAACTTCCTCTGCATTCCATTTGGACCCATGTACCAAAAAGTCTTCCATTAGAATTCAGATATTCCAGAGGCTTAAAAAATGTTATGGCCTGAGATCATTCATAAAAACACATCCATGAAAAACTGAAATTTAATTTCTATAGGCATATTTATTTTGACTTTGCTGGACTATGTGGACTTAATGACTTAAAAGTTAGAAAGGAAATAAAAGAATCAAAGAGGCCTTCCTATAAATGGCGACTATGGATAGAACACTTCTAATGATTAGTTGTGTCACACCATGCACACCAACTCAGAGCCCTGTGCCTCAGTTGCCCTATCTTTAGAATGCTATAACAATCCAAAGTAACATACCATTATTTCCAATGACTTTCTTTATACATATTACTATTGCCTGTTACTTTATTCATATGAGGCACTTCAGTTAAACGGCATATTTGCTTGAGAATGATTAGGTTGCCATAGACAAGGCCTTCTCTCTTTACATATGTTCAAAAGAACCTTCCCTCAGAAAATTCCAGGGTGGAGACAGAAATTCCATGGGTGAGAATAAAGGATGGTGTTCCTTGCGGCTCTATGGCTGGCCCAGGATGACAGCCAAGATCTGAAGCACTAATTCCGTCCTGTGCACTCGTTCCTCAGCTAGTCCCCCTCTGCACTGCCCATGCTCACACGGTACCTGTTCCATGAACACAATCAGAGATTCCCGGTTATTCTCCCACTCCTCAGGCAGCTGGCTCTCATGCGGGTATTTATCACAGCCCACATAGATGGACAGCTCGAAGCAGTTTGTGTGAAGGTAGCTGAAATCGTTCAGACCTGCCAAGCCAAACAGACAACATTTTAACTGAGCAATGCTCAAAGTAGCAGTGGGGAAAGAAAAGCAGCAAGAGTGTTTGAGCATATTCAGAAGACTTCTTCTGAACAGGGAGGCATCGAGTGTCTACTATAGACAGAAATCTGCATTGGGGCAAGTGTGTGAAAGTTGGCGAGAACTGAGAGAAAGGATGTAGCCAGAACAGCTCAGGGCAAGGACAGACACCACGTGCAGGGACATCTTTGACAAAAGAAGGATGAAATAGCTACTTTTTAGATAAAATAGTCACTTTACTAACCTCCATTTCACACATCATTTTTGGAAGAAAGGTATCATTAATTAACACCGTCGATCTTAAGTGCCTCATTAAAGTGATCTATAGTTTTGCCATCTCAGCTATAGCTCCAGTTTTCTACTCTGAGTCATAACAATAGCTGTCCATACCACTATTTAATAAGTGTTTCACATAAGCCACGATCTGTCCTAAGCACTCTGCATCCATCAGGTCACTGAAGCTTCCCCCCAGACCCAGCAGAGGTAGGTAGCACAGCACACTTTTACAAATAAGAAAATTAAGTTTGAGAACGGGAGAGAAGAATTGTACCCCGGATCATGTGTCAAGAAATGGCCAGAGTCGGGATTTGGGCCCAGATCTGCATAACCAGAAGCTCTTGCTTCAGAGCATGGCTTCCTGGGGACGACAGGGCACACACATTCACCCACAAGCCTGAAAACAGACAAACCTTCCGCATCCTGGCAAGACCACAACAGGATAAAAAGCACCCAGCCCGGTATACAGTTGGTCTCTGTATTAGTTTCCTAGGGCTGCGATTACAAATTTCCACAAACTGGGCAACTTAAAGCAAAGAAATTTATTCTCTCACAGTTCTGGAGGCCAGAAGTCCAAAATCAAGGTGTTTGTGCTCCCTTCAAAGCTTCTAGAAAAGGATCCTCCCTTGCTTCTTGCAGCTTCTGGTTCCCCAGGTGTTCCTTGACCTGTGGCTACATCACTCTGCCTTTGTCTTTTTGGGGATTTCTCCTCTGTTTCTGTCTTCTCCTCTTCTGCCCCTTATCAGGACACTGCCCACTGATTTTTAGGGCCAGGTAACCCAGGATGACCCCATCTCAAGACCCTTAACATAATTAAACTTACCAAGACCCATTCTCCAAATAAGGTAACATGCACAGCTGCGGGTTTTAGAAAGCAGACATTATATTTTTGGAGGGGACACCATTCTACCCACTGCGCTACCCATTATTTGTGAAATGAATACACGAGTGCTCGATGGCATGAAGTACACGTTGCCGTCTTCCCAGCACTTTTGTTTTTGAGCAGGATGATTCTGCACAATGAGTGTCTGAAAGGACTCGCCAATAGAAAGCTCCTCTTAGCAGCCCTCCCTGGGCCCTTGAGGGTAGTCACAGAAAGCGGAAGTTGGGTGGGCTGAGCTATGTACTGCTGGAAAAAAGTGCCGAGCTGTGGTCCTTGGATGTTCTTTCTTCCTCCCTGACCACTTAGCTCAAAAAGTGACCCTCTACTGCAATGCTCAGTATCAAAATCATGACTTTAACTCTGCATCAACTGGCTGTCTCATCGCTGAAATCAGTGGCAAAATGGTACCATATCTATGGCCACCCTAAACTAGATTCCAAACTCGAACCACTCACTTGTCATCGGCAATAGGCCTTTGACCACACTTGTCAAAAACAAGGAACAGTAAAGAGTAGTAGAACAAAGAGGGTGGGATGGTGCCAAGTTAACAGAAAATCCTTCACTTGGGGCGTGGTCTGGTTGAAGAAGATGGGTCAAAATTCATTCAGTCAAACCCATAGTATGAAATTACAGACAGTGCAAGATCAGGGACAGCAAATCCACCAGCTAACACAGGTTTTGACTTCCCGGGAGGGTTGGACTCCTCTTTGCACATAAAATTATTACTACTCCCACCCTTTTAGGCCTTGTTAGTTCTGAAATAAATACGATATTCAAAAATTCTAGAGTGGGTCTGCCATTTTGTAACGTGCGCGTTCAAAGTACTAGAAGTTTTTGAAGAACTAGCAAAATAAGAAAGCAGGAGAAGCTTGGGCCACGCTGCCATTGCTGCTGACCGCCCACCTGTCAGTGTGTCGCCTTGCTGAGAGTACCTGGCCAGAGAATGGCTTCAGAAGCCAAACGCTACTTCCGGTCTGAGGTGGGTAAGCAAAGGGCTGTGATGTGCCCCAGACTGTTCTTTAATAAGCCTTCAGTCCTGGTGGGGCGGTGAGATATTCCTTGTGTTCTCTCTCTGACTGGGAGCCTTTTCTTGTCATCAGCTTCAGCGTGGAACGTGGATCACAGAGCCACAACCCTTACAGCTTCAAACCCAATGCTCCCACAGCACCTGCCTTCTCCATGGAGGGGACACAGTCAGGAACAGTGACAGCAGGCACACTGCAAACGCTATGCATCTGGAAGTGTGCACATATTCACCCTTGCTCTCGGCTGGGATGCTCTCCAGTAAGGAGCACCTGTCAGTGCTCTGCTAATGAGCACAAAAGACCAGCACAAAAAGATGGGGAGGGGGGATCTTAGGAGTTGCATTTCATTAATCTACAAAGAAATGAATCTGCAGACTTCATCACACTGCCAGGAAAAAGAATGATTAAAGAGGCTCGAGCTACCACATGGCTCTGCCACGAAGTCCTGGAAATAATGGAAAATATAATTGATAGAATGTGATGACAGCCAACTTTTTATAATGTTACTATTGACCCAACATGGGAAATCCAGCTGTGTCCATACCCAATTTAGTCACGGCAGCCATAAAAAATAAACAAATATTTTATTTAAGGATTTTTTTGTATGCCAGTTTTTTAAGGCTCAAATTAAAAGGCAAGGATGCTTTTTTCCCAACAGAAAATTTTCTTGATAGGTTGAGATTTGCTTTTTTTTTTTAATTACGTACAAGCCAAAAACCATGATGGAAACAGATAAAATGTCTCTGCTTGGTCTGCTAAGAAAAAATGGCAAGCTTTCTGCAAAATGACCACGGAAACAAATATTTCTACCTATGTTTTCTTTTTCCAAGTGTGGGAACATACTTGAGAAGCATGTGAATGCTGAATTTCTAGCAAAGTAGAATAATATGAAAATCAATTAGTATAGTGATACAATTAATATAAGGATATGCTTGTTAGAAGGTTCCATGGTGGGGTAGCAAGTGAAAGAGAGCAGTCAGCAGAGGATGGTAACTTATAACTGTTTCTGATAAGTCATACATTGAGCACATCCACAGCCTCCACCTATGAAATCTTCATAGCATCCTAGAAGGAGACATTCCCACCACCACCATCATCACCATCATCCTTAATTCACCATGCCCATTTTACAAACGGGAAAGTATGAGGGTACAGAGAGGTAAAGTAACTTGCAGCAGCACACAGCAGTTAAGTGACAGAGTGGGATTTGAACCTAGGTCTGACATGGAATATCTTTAAAATTCATCATTGCCTTGACCAACCCTCGCAAAGCGAAGAAGATAAGCCATAAGCATTAGGCCTGAGGTTCTGCAGTCCAATGCAGAGGGGCCTTAAGAGTGGGACATCCTAGCCAGGCTCGGTGGCTCAGCCTGTAATCCCGCACCTTTGGGAGGCTGAGGTGAATGGATTACCTGAGCCTGCAGGTTCGAGACCCGCCTGGGCAGGCGAGACCTCACCTCTACAATAAATCAAAAAAATTAGCCGGGCGTGGTAGCGTGTGCCTGTAGTTTCAGCTACTTGGAAGGCTGAGGCGGAAGGATCGCCAGAGCCCAGCAGGTCAAGGCTGTGGTGGCCGGGAGGGGACACTGCACTCCAGTCTGGGCGACAGTGAGACTCCAATTCAAAAAAAAAAAAGTGGGACATCTTCATCTCTCCTGGTTTAGGAGCCCTGGGCTGGGAACAGCCCTGAGACAGGAAACCAAGTCCTCATCCCCTGGCATGTCGACCATGGAGTCCTCTGTCTGCTGCCAAGGAGTTTCCAAAATCTCTGCCGGAAGTTTTTCCAGTCCTTCGTGGATGCCAGGAGCAACGCCTTGGATTGCCCACACTGACCACAGTAGGTTCTGACCACACGTCGTGGGTGTGATGGGAGGCCGGCCCGCTGACCGCTGGAGGACAGCAAGTGAGCATGAAATGGCCTTCACAATTTGCTGGGTCTCAGGACACCCCTGCAGCTCAGAGTCACCTCACACCTGTGCTTGAGATCAATGCCCAGTCCCCCATATGGGTTCACAGCATGGATATCCCCCAAAATAAGTATCGCTCTCCAGTGCCAGCACCAGAACGCTCTCTGCCCTTTCCATGGGTTTTCTGCTTGGTTGGTTTTGGTCCAACATGGCCACTAAGTTTAATTTTATCCATCTCTGACTACAAAATCTGAATAGCTCAGTGGCTAAGGGCAGAGACCCCAGTTCTACTCCTTTCTCACTTGAGCAGCTCCCTATGGGTCTTCACACCTCTGTTATCTCATTCATTAAACGGAGAGTAAAGTCCACCCCTCATGGATCATAGTGAGGACAAGAAAAAAGCCTGTGCAGAGTGCTTTGTCAAATGCAGGCACCTCGTCAATGCTCAGCTACACAGACATGGTGAAGCAGCAGCGCAGGCAGCAGTGATACAAAGAGGGCAGGGTCTTCCCGTCCCAGCAGCCCACCCTCACGGGTCCAAGACGCCAAGCAGGGGAGGTTGGAGGCTTACTTCCTGCGACGGTATGCCAGGAGGCTCCGTTGACGGTGCCCTCTTCCTTCTGGAAGTCCTCCGTGTGGCACACTCTCCGCCGGGCGTCGGTCATGAGACGGTGCGTGGAGGCGTAGGAATAGGCCAGCCAGCGGAACACGTGGTCGTCGGGTGTGGGGGTGTGTTCCTGGGTCTTCCACGGGGACCGCACGAGGTCATAGGGGTAAGCCACCACCAGCTCGCCCCCCTGCAGGTTGCCGCCCAGCACGAAGGGGATTTTTTCCATCCAGGCTATGACGGCTCTGGTCTCCATGGCCACCTGTGAAACCCCAAAATTGATAAGAAATAATAAGAAGGAAACCACTTTCTCTATCTAGCTGTCAAAACAAGGATAGATTCAAAAAAGTAGTCATTATATGGAATAATGCTAGGACAATTTTGAATTTCAAAATCTATTCTGGAAAAGCTTAACAGAGACGAAAAACACTTACAAATTTATCAGAAGGTTATTTGGGTGGGGAGGGACTGAAAATAGGAGAAATGTGAGCACTGGCCAGATATTTTAAAATACTAAGAAATGCTTTTTTAGATGGTCTCGGTGGCTTAGCCTGTAATCCCAGCGCTTTGGGAGGCCGAGGTGAGTGGATTGCCTGAGCCCGCGGGTTCGAGATCCGCCTGGGCAACTTGGCGAGACCTCATCTCTAAAATAAATAAAAAATTAGCCAGGCATGGTAGCGCGCGCCTGTAGTTCCAGCTATTTGGAAGGCTGAGGCGGAAGGATCGCTGGAGCCCAGCAGGTCGAGGCTGCAGTGACCGGAATCTGGGTGACAGAGTTGAGACTCTAACTCAAAAAAAAAAAAAAAGAAAAGAAATGCTTTTTAAAAAATATGATCATGGTAACGGTGTTTTGATAGAAAATGGTTTCAAAAGAGTGTCCCTATTTAGAGATAGCTACTGAAATATTAACAAATAAAACAATTGCTTCAGTTAGGATTGCCTCAATAATCTGGGGTTGGGGAGAGAAAGTGGGTGAAGGTGTAGATGCAACACAAACTGAGAAGACTCGAAGATGAGATGGGTCCATGAAGATCCTTTACAGCTTTCATCATGAACTTTTTAATGATACAAAGTTAAGAAGAAAGAGAAAAGAAAGAAAATAGATTCTGTGAAAAGCTAAAATTGGAAAGTCTAATATGGCCATCAGTAAGTCACACCTCTATCATAAATTGCTAGTCCCTGAGAGGATAATTTCAGTAGGACAAAATTGATCACGACAAAGAAATAAACGTAGGAAATCACTTAACTGTGCAGTCTAGAAAACTGATTAAGGGATGAAATAAATGGACTTCATGGGATCCATTAAGCTTTGTTTTTGGACTACTCATAGAACTTAGTTCATTACACAGTATCATTGTTGTCTGTTCTCGTCTTCTTTTGTTATATAGAATAAACAAACACCCACCAGGCAAGTACAGAAGCAAATCTCACTAATAATTTCTGCATGCCTACACGATTCTGTGTGTCTCACTCTCCAGCCTCCCACTCGGAGGTAACCAGTGTATCCTAAATGATATGATTCTCATTCTCTCTCTTTTGCTTCAAACCGCCTGTGTATGTCTAAAAATATATTGTTTGGTTTTACTTGCTTGTGATCTAAAATACTGAGGGAGGTTGGGCGTTCACGCCTGCAATCCCAGCACTTTGGGAGGCCAAGGAGGGATGTCTGCTTGAGCCCAGGAGTTCAAGACCAGCCTGGGTAGCATAGTGAAACCCTATTTCTACAAAAAAATAAGAAAAAGATTTTTTTTAAAAAAATTATGGTTATCTTCTGCAATTTGTTTTTTCTTCCCACTCAATTTTATGTTTCTAAGAGTCATCCCTGTTGTTGAATAACGCCATTGTCAGGCCTTTGCATTTAAGTATGATGAGCTGATTTAATTTATCTATCCTTAGATGACGGGGATTTCAGTTTTTGCTATCATGAAAGTGTGGTTTTGACCTTTCTTGTACTGCCCTGTGGTATACACGTACTGGAATTTGTCTTGCGTATATCACCAGAAGTTGAATTGCAAGGTTATGGCATATATCAATATTCCACTTTACAAGGTAATCAAATCATTTTCCAAGGTGGCTGTGCTCATTTACACTCACCCACAATGTGAAAGAGATCCACTGTCCCCTACACCCTCCAACACTAGGCTATTGTCAGACTTCTTAATTTTGCCAAATAATAGGTATAAGATGTTCTCTTATCTGCATTTTTAGTACTAGTGAGGTAGAATATCATCTCATGTTTGTTAATCTGCTTCCTCCTACATAAATTGTCTCTTTATACTTTTTATCCATCTTTCTATTGAGTTGCTCATAGTTTTCTTGCTATTCTGTATCTTTTTTAAAATTCTAATTTTCTCGGATATACCATTTGCAAATAACTCCTCCCAGTTTATTGCTTGTCATAGTTTTTAAAACCTTCTGATGAACAAATCTCTTATTTCCATGCAGCTGAATGTACTCATCTTTTATGATTAATACTATTTGCATTTTGCATGAAATATCCTTCCTCATGCTAAAAGCTATATTCTAAAGTTTTACTATGAGGTCTTATTGTGAATAATTTTTATCAAATGCTTCTTTCTATAGACAAATCACTTCGTATTGTTTCTGTATTTTCTATCATTTTATTGATGTCTGCTTTTGCGTTTTAATCCATTTTTCTTGCTTTTTTGGGTTTCTTCTGTTATTCTTTTGCTAACTTCTTAAGTTAGTTCATTCTCAGTCTTTCTTCTTTTGTAACATAAAGTGATAAATTTCCTTGAAGCATTATTTTATGCTCTACTCTACAAATACTGATATTAATATTTCATTCATCATTCCGTTATTTTTTTAGTTGCCAGTATGATTTTTTCTTTGATGCAGTCTTCAGAAGTTTGTTTTTTTTTTTCCTAAATACACGATGATGTTTTCATGAATCTTATTACTAGTTTGAATGTACAGTGGCAAGAGACCATGGTCTGTCTGGCTCCTATTCTCTGAAATCTGTTGATACTTCCTTTACAGCCCAGAATTACTGAGAAGAATATTCTCTAATAGTTGGTTGTAGAATTTGTATAGGTCCCTTATATGTCAAACCTGCTAATTTTGTTATTCCAATCTTTATCTCAGCTGATTTCTTATCTATCGAATCTAGCCACAATTGAGAAAGGTATTGGTGATGGTGGATTTGTGTAACTCTCCCTGTAGTTCTAGAGAACAACACATTCACAAAAGTAAATTCTAATCTGGAAGCAAAGACTGAAATCCAGGTACTTTGTATGACTGTGCTAAAATACTTATCTCTTATAGCCTAGAAGTTAACAAAGCTGGCAACCAAATACCTGTTTGGGTCCAAGTGTTCCCTAAGTATAACATTGCTTGACTTCTCAGTTTTGTTGGGTGTCATGAGGATGTTAGCTGGAAACAAACAAATAAATCCCAAAACAGGGATTCTGCGGGTTGGAATTAGGAAACATGAGAAGGAATGCAGAAGACTCAGAGACAGACCGTTGTCTGTCTCCCTCATTCCACTGCTTACCTCCTGGGGGCCTAATCACACTGCACTGTGAGTCATGAAGTGAGCCCACCATGCTACCCTCCTCCCGTAAGTGATGTCCACTTGGGCTGCGCTGGGGCTGGAACACCGAGGCAGAGCAGGAGAGCTGATGTCCCCTACTCAGCTCCCTAGATTCCTCAGCAGTCCAATCGTTTTCCTCAGCTTGCAATGTGCTTACAAAATACAGCATTCCCCAACCTTTCCTGAAATGACGGACACCGTGTGCAACTGAATTCTGGTCAATGAGATTGAAGCAGAACTACCATGTAGGAATTGTAGGAATGTCTCTTACAAGAAATTGAATTATCTGGGAAGACAACTTTCCTTCCTTCCTTTCTTCCTTCCTTCCTTCCTTCCCTCCCTCCCTCCTTCCTTCCTTTTTTCCTTTCTTTTAAAAACCTTTCTTTCTCTCTTTTTCCTTCACAGACATGACAGCTAGAGCACCAACTGCCACCTTGGATTATGACTTGCAGATGAGTTTGGCATGCTGGTGTGGTAAAGGCAGAAAGAGATGAATTCTGGATCCCTGAAGACCATGGGCTACCATTTGGTTGGTCCTATACCACCTACTTTCAGGGTACTTTCATGTAAAGAAGGAAATAAACTTCTACCTTGTTAAGCTACTATTATTTTGATTTCTCTGTTGCTGCCGCTGAACCTAACATTCAGTCGTATATCAATCAAGGCAGACCTCTTGAAGGATATATGAAGGGGGACCCCCCCGAAAAATGGAATCATTTATTAAAAATTGCGAATTCATTCTTACATGTTTAAAGTTCAGTCACCCTCAAAGTGCTCTCTATTTGAGGCAATACACCTATTGAGATGTTTTTTTCCACTGGTCAACACAGTTTTTGAATTTGTCCATTTTCATGACTTTTAGTCCTTCTGTCATTTTTTGTTTCAACTCTTCCACACCAGCAAAATGTTTCTCTTTGAGGATTATTTTCATCCGGGAAGCAAATAAAAGTCTCTCGGGGCAAGATTGGGTGAATAGGGAAGGTGGGCATGGGGGTCATGCTCCTTTTGGTCAAAAACTGCTGAACACTCAGCGTGGTGTGGGCAGGTGTACTAGTAAATCACCCATCATAAAATGGGGAAATGCATTGAAAGAATCTCAACAACAACAAAAAAATTCACTGAAGCTTAATGCAGCCTCTCACTGCAAAGCTAACTGGTACACTGATGCTGATGGGTTCCTAGAACACCAACCTACCAGGGGAAGCCTGTACTACAAGGAATCTAAAAGGTATTTCCATTTTTCTTGGTGGGGGGGTCCACCTTTTATTATGGGCAGACAATAAAAGACATGGGAAATTTTGTGAGAATTATTTCTTCTACAACATACTTTTTTGTGAAGCAAGATCTAAGAAATCTGGGGGAAATATTTTTCATCCAATTTCATTTTTCTTTCCAAAAAAATCCCACATGTAATAAATCCATGAAGACTTATTAAAATAAAAATAGGATACAACAAACAATCAAGGAGGGCTAAGGATAATTTCACGGTAGCATAACTGACAAGGATGAGGATAATAATGGAAGTAACAAACTCAGACAATTCAAGGGAGGCTGTTTTGTTTTTGAAACAATATGAGTTATTAAGAAATATAATTAAATGATTTCTCCTCTATGAAGAATCTCTCCAAATATCAATTTAAAAGGTAGCCATTATCTAGCATACTTCCCTGCTTTTGGAGAAAACATGAAAGCAAAAATGGTTTGGTTTTGTCCTTAAATATCATGTCCTGCTAACACCAGTGGGGGTTATGCCTGGTCTTTCGTGGTTCTACAGATGGGGGGCTGTTTTTACTCACCGTGGCATTTTCAGACAGAAACCACTCGGGGATTGCAATATAGTGATTGGGAACTTTTCTTGGGACGTTCTGTCGGTCCTCTGCCTCCCAGAGAAGGCTGTTTAAATCAGGAAAGTTGTTGTTGATGTCAATCCCGACGTGAGTCCAGCGTCCCAGGGACCAACCCCCCAGCTCCGAGCCCTGAAGACAATTCAGAATGTGAGGAACCCACAGACTGCAGGACAATCCTGACAAGACATCCATACAAGATGCATCCATGTCCACCTCCCCTTGGTATGCATCTCTGACCTCGGGATGCCCTCTGACCCAAAGATGGCATCCGAAGGAGAATACTGAATATTTGATGGGTGATGGGTATACAGCCAAACAACTCTAAAGAAGAAATGCAGAGAACCACTCCTGCCAAATGGGAGTACTTAAAAAGCAAGAGGTCCTTTCTTCCGCCTCTTCCCTCTGTCCTTCCACACCGATTGGCTGGACCTCCAAGTAGCAACGAATCCATCAGTACAGTATCAATGGCCACCACGGTAAGGCATTCTCCCTGCCCTGCCCACGATTCTGGCTTGCTAACTAGTGATGCAAACTTCTAACCAACTATTTGCCCCAATGAACACAATCAAAATTATGTATTGTAAAGCTTGAATATGACAAGTATGACTGTTTTAAATATAATTTTCCATTTTCTCCCAGATATCGTGATAGATCACGAATACTCAATACAACATAATTCTAACTATATTCTATGTTTCTTTATCTATATCTTTGTACGTGTGTGTTCTACCGATACCTATAACTAATAGAAACTCTACATCATAATTAGAACATAAAATGCACATGAAATATCAAAATAATAAAAATGACATCCCCCAGGGGGTTGACAATAACTTAGGTGAGTACATGCCACGATGGAGCGCTCTCTCAGCTTACACAGATTTTGTCATACTCTGTTATTATCGTGTATGAGCAACACTATTATTTGTGTTTACTTTCTCCAGTCTGTTGGGACATCCACCGCTCAGGGTCCCCATCCTTCCCAATTCCTGTTTTCATCTCTCGTGACCCTCAAGCATAAAGCTCGTGAGGTGGAATTGAGTCAAACCCCCTCCCTCCCCGATGGCCACACTCTGGACTGGGGGCCCAGCTGCCTGCAGGGGGTAAGAGGGGCCAGGGACCTTACCCCTTCGTAGGCCTTCTCGTAGCCGTCGGGGTTGAGAGAGGGCAGGATGTGAATCCGCGTCTCCTCCACCAGGCGGATGATGCGTACATTGCGAGCCAAGTACTCCTGGCACAGAAACTGCAGCAGCAGCAACAGCAGCTCACGGCCCAGCACTTCGTTGCCATGGGCCCCCGCGATGTAGTGGAACTCGGGCTCTCCTTTACACAGAGACAGAGAGAAACCAAAGCTTCTGCTGAACTGACAGCCACCCAGCGCTTATCACATTGTGTTAGAGGAAAAAAAAAAACCTCAGAATAATATAAACTCACAACCTTAGCCCATTTCTTCTTTCACATACGCCTCTAAAATTACATCGGGACAATTTTCTTATTCCCAAAGAGTCAGGTATATCAGAAAAAAAGGTGGGAAAATCTTAGACGACACCCATCACAGGATAATAATATCCATCCTTACCAAGAATAGAGAAAATAACATGATGCTTAAGGTTTAAAATTGCCGGGCTTGGTGGCTCAGCCTGTAATCCCGCGCCTTTGGGAGGCTGAGGTGAGTGGATTGCCTGAGCCCACGGGTTCGAGACCCGCCTGGGCAGGCGAGGCCTCATCTCTATAACAAATCAAAAAAATCAGCCGGGCATGGTAGCGTGCGCCTGTAGTTCCAGTTACTTGGAAGGCTGGGGCGGAAGGATCGCCGGAGCCCAGCAGGTCAAGGCTGCCGTGGCCAGGAGCGGCCACTGCACTCCAGTCTGGGCGACAGTAAGACTCCAATTTAAAAAAAAAAAAAGGGTTTGAAGTTTACAAGTTGAACACAAGTCATAGGAATTATTTTTTTCTCCTGGGATGCAATTATTTTTCTTAAAAGAACTTTAAGTTTTACAAAGACCCGTGAATACAAGCAGAAAACGGTACATAAGAGCAAATTGGCAATGACACAGTTTTGTAAAGTGGGCTGTGTTGAAGTATTTTCTCTTTCAAAGCTCAGCTTTTGAAATGTTGAGGGTGCTATGGTTTAATGGGTCCCCACAAAACCCATATGTCGGAATCTGAGATCCAGTGTCATAGTGTTAGGAGGTGGGGCCTTAGGCGACCCTCATGAATGGAATTAGTGCCCTTATCAAAGGGTTCCAGGAAACTAGTGAGTCATTTTTGCCTTTCTGCCGCCTGACATGTGAAGCTACAGAAGAAGAGGCCATGAGAAGAATAGACTCTCAGTAGACTCTGAATCTGCTCAGGTCTTAATCTTGGATTTCCCAAACTCCAGGAGTATGAGCAATACATTTGCGTTGTTTATAAATCACCTGACCTCAGGTATTTTGTTATAGCAGCCCAAACAGACTAAGACCTGGGGTTTATCGGTGCCTGGCAGGAGCTGACAACACATCTTCCTTCACTGGCAAAGCTGCTTGCTTTAGAGGAAATGTGATTTCCCCAGCAGATAAAGCCATTACCATTTAAAAGAAACTCCCATGAGGAACTTCTGAGACATTGCTGAATGTTAAAATTGAATAAGTCAGCCAAATCTTTGCACCTAAGTATCAGTGGACTTCTAAAGAGTTCCCAGACTTACCATAAAGAGAACCCAAAAAGCCCATTTGACCTGTGGGAAGACAGGCTGGGGAGCGTTTGAATGGGAAATGGTTAAAAACAGGACATAACCTAAAAACAGAGTCGAAATTGTTTTTAAAAAAGGGAGAACTCAGCCGGGCTCGGTGGCTCAGCCTGTAATCCCGCCCTTTGGGAGGCTGAGGTGAGTGGATCGCCTGAGCCCGCGGGTTCGAGACCCGCCTGGGCAGCGAGACCTCATCTCTATAATAAATCAAAAAATCAGCCGGGCGTGGTAGCGCATGCCTGTAATTCCGGCTACTCGGAAGGCTGAGGGGGAAGAATCGCTGGAGCCCAGCAGGCGAGGCTGCAGTGGCCGGGAGCGGCCATTGCACTCCAGTCTGGGCGACCGAGTGAGACTCCAACTCAAAAAAAAAAAAAAAGGGGGAGAACTCCCTCTAATTTGAGCCAATAGGGGTCAGGGAGTCCTGGAAGAGGGGGAAATTCTGTCCTGTGGCAGTCACTTTTTTCTTTGGCTACAGTGATTAATCTCAGAGGCAGAGAACACAGAATTAAACCTGGTAAATGGTTCTACAACCCTTATCACAGGTGAGAGGTTCACAGAACCAACATATGAGAGTCTGTCTGTGTGAGAGGGTCCGTATTTGGGCAGCTGTTGTCCTGTCTCAAGAATGTTTTCACAGGAGTGGGGCTGTTTAAGAAGACACCAAAGATGAAGAGACCCAGCATCCCAGAGGGGGCCTCCTCACCAACTTCATGCTCCCCAGGGTGGTCGGAAATCTCCACGGCATACAGTTTCAGGCCCTGATGACTTTTTCCAATGTTGTAAATTCTGGTGATATTGGGGCACATTTCGTTCACAAACTTCATCAACTGAAAAACAAAATGAATTACAGGTTGTAAGCAATAGTGGCTATGCACTAAAAGAACAGAGACCCCAAGAAGAGAGTCACTTCCTGCTCCCCTCCATAGCTGCCCCCGAGTGCCCCCACACCCCGGTTGATGTCCCCTCTGCCCAGAATGTTCTCCTTGTGACCTATTCCCCAGGATAATAACTACCTTTTCTTCCAACACTACCCTTCATCACCTCCTCTGAGAAAAAACTCTTGGCCATTGACCCCACCGCGGCCCTAACTCTTAGTATGCCTTGGTTGTGGTTATTGCCTCCTGTTAGGGTCTGGATGTTTGTGTGCCCTCAAATTCATGGTGAAACTCAGTGCTATAATATTAAGAGAGAATCTCTTCGGACAGTGATTAGCCATAACCAGCAAAAGTGTTGACCACAACCAGGGAGGTGAGAATCACAACCAGGGAGGTGACAGCCACAACCAGAGAGGTGGGAACCATAACCAGGGAGGGGAGGACCACAAGCAGAGAGGTGGGAATCACAACCAGGGAGGTGAGAACCATAACCAGGAAGGTGAGAATCACAACCAGGGAGGTGATAGCCACAACCGAAGATAGTGGTAACCACTGAGGTTCTGCCTTCAGGAATGGGAGTAGTGCCTTTACAAAAGACACCCAAAGGAGCTTGTTTTGTCCCTTCTACCACGTGAGGAATTAGCAAGAAGGCACCATCTATGAACCAGAGAGTGGGTCCTCACCAGAACCAAATCTGCTTATGCCTTAATACTGGACTATCTAGCCTCCAGAACTGTGAATAATAAATTCTTGTTCTTTATAAGTTACCGAGTTTATCATATTTTTGGCAGCCTGAACAGACTAAGAAACTTCCTTAGGGGCGGCGATCACCTTCTTGGTTGTGGTCAACACTTTTCTGGTTGTGGCTATCACCTCCCCAGTTGTGGGTATAACTGCTTCATTGCGGGTAGCACCTCCCTGGTTGTGGCTATCATCTACCTTGGGTATGGTTATCACCTCCTTTGGTTGTGATTGTCACCATCCTGGCTGTGGTATCATCTCCCCTGGGTATGGTTATCACCTCCTTTGGTTGTGATTGTCACCATCCTGGCTGTGGTATCATCTCCCCAGTGTGGCTATTGCCTCTGCTGGTTTTGTCTATCACCTCCCTGCTGTGATCACCTCCTTGATGAAATGTTATCACTCCCCAGGGTTTTGGTTATAACTTCCTTGGTTATTATCACCTCCTTGGTTGCGGTTATTGTCTCCCTCAGTTGGGATTATTACTTTTTCACTGTGATTTCCTATTTTCTTGTTAGCCTTCCGCTACATGCAGATTGCTGAGGGGACTGAGTCTTTAATCTTTATCTTTGCATCCATGGGCAATTAAACATCCTTACGGATATCAATTTTTTCCCATGATTTAATGAGCACTTACATTGCCAAGCTGAGCAAACAGACGCTGTCCCTGCCCTCAGAATCCCCAGTGCCTATCAAGTGAGACTGCAGCAGGCACTCGATAAAGCCTTTTAAATCAAAGCTCGTCTTATCATAAACCTGCACTTTAAGGGGCTCTGTGACATACCAGTTAGGCAGCAGCAGATGGGAAGGAGGGGGTGTGCAGTGGCCCAGTTCACTGGTGCTGAGGAGGAAGGACATGGGGTCACCCTGACATCGGGAATCTTAGGGTTCAATGGTAGGAAAGCGGGCTTCAGCAAGGAAACAAAATAAATGCATGCTATTTTCTGAACTTTGCTTTTGTAGTCAATTGAGTCAGACTGACAATTTGGTCTGTGAGAAGGAGACAAGCTGCCAGAGGAGGCAACGAGGGCTCTGCCAGACACAGAACAAGCTGGCCTTGCAGGCGGAGGACAAGAGACACCCTCTCCCTAGAGGTTGCTTTGCTTCACAACACTGAACAAGTGCCTGTGTATTAGCAGCTAAGTGGCTTCGATGTCCTGGGTTCAATCTGTTTAGCAATCCAAAAGGTCTGGTACAAAGGGCATCTGTTTATTCATTTGTTTCTTGAAGAAACTTCTCCTTGCCAGGCACCCAGTGGGGCGCTGTGCTCATGGTAGGGGCCAGAGCGTTCCTGGGGCAGTCTCATGACCGTGCGTTAAAGACTAGGAGGGAGGCTCAGGTGCTACAGAAGCAGAGAGGGAGGACATCCCAGCCAGGCTGGTGGGTGGGCAGGTACCCATCAAGGAGGATGCATCCTGAAATATGAGCTGGAACTGGGTACGTGAGAACAGAGGAAGTTGCACGGCCCACCGCGGGGTAGCTTGGACCCAGTGTGTTCTAACAGGCTTCCAAAATGCTCTCCCCATCAACAGAAGAATCCATAGAATGCCCTTGTAAAGTGTAGATTTACAAGTCTGTTGCAGATTTTATGGTGGGTTAAAATCTATTAGAACTGGATAATTGGCATTATGTAAAATTTATGATATGGTGGAATTCTATGACTGTGTGCTTTATCTGTCTCTCATAACACAACATTCTGCAATGACTGAAGAGAATGGGCTTAAAGGGTATCAAGGTATATTTTTTAAAGGGTAGAAAGATTTATTGCTGCCATCACTTGGCTTTTACGACACACCTACGAGGGTAACAGGTGCGGCCTTGGTTGGGAATTCAGGGTCTAATTCTCTCACTGGCCCTGGCAGGGAAAGTGGGTTTTACTTTATTATGATAATTCATTCTGTGTCACAGTATGTCGAGAAAGCTAGCTACAAAGGCTCTTGTTCGCAAGAGGGCTCAAACAGACACCTATCACCGATGGAGAAACAACATGCAAGGAGAAAGTAGCTTCTACAGTCATTACCACGAGGATAAATACTGCAGGGGTGATGTGGAGATACACACAAATAGCACCATGTTTTAATAAAAGATGCCATCATAATGCCATTGATAATGCTAACAAGAGCAAAAAGAACACTTTCTGTTTCTCCACTGAATCCCACCATCATGACCACCAGGTGAGATAGACATGACAGGGGTGGGGTAATTGTCCTCATCCTACAGATCATGGAAAATTAAGCTCAGAGAGGCATTGAGTGATTTGGGTCACCTAGCTAGTAGCAGGTGGAACCAGGACTTTGGACTTGCAGGCCTCTTCCCACACCCCAATCTGTCCATAAAAATACAGTAGAGCAATGAGAATCAGGCTATCTCTACTGCTCATTTTGTCTGCTGCAACGGCCACAGCACACTTGCCATCTCCTTTGATGTCCTGTGCACTAGTCCCTGCTGGTGCAGTCATTCTCAGCCTACGGCATCAACCTCAGCAAATCCTGATCGGCGGGCAATCCACTGTCTTGCGTTCAGATCAATGACTAGTTCTATAGACACAGGCGACTCATCATTAACTAGGCAATGAACAAAAGCATTCAGCATTGTCTGGTTGTCTTTCTCTGATACACCTACCCCTTTCAACTAGCTGTAGGAGAAATACGCTGTCAGTACTAGAGATCATGACCTTGACACTGGAAGAAGACAAATATCATCTTCCTTTGGGATGCACACTTAGCCATGGCTCAGGAAGACCCTGGGGCCAGGAGTCATCAGAATTTCTTCTTTATACTCTACCCACTTCTATACCAGCCACACATTCCCACCAACTACACAGTGCCAGTTAGTAAATGAACCATATGCCATCGTGTCATGGAATCACAAGCACCTTTCCCACATGAGAATGCGAACACTTGAAGAATCTTCTTGTTTGGGAGGTTGCTTTAAATTCTCTCTGTACAGTGGCCCTCTGGAATGCCAGGAAGCATTTCTCTGGCAGCCACCAGCACCATCAAAGATGTGGGTGGTGACCCACCCTCTCTTCCCAGCAAGACAACCATGAATATCCCTGGGAATGAGGTTCTCCATTTAAACACAGCTATTTCTTGTAAAAGAATATAAGTATTCCTGAAAAGAGTCAAAGTTGATTTTTTGGAACTTGGTCTTTGTGGCAAATGTTGGGGTCTTGACGGATAAAGAGAGAGTAAGGGATAGAATTTTCATCATGGCCTTAGAGCACATACTCTCAAAAGGGGCTAACAAATATTTATAAATATAAAAATGCTTTGTGGGACTTCAAAACTCAACCCTGCCTGGCAAAATCGTATTTCTTAGTATTCAGCATAACGAGGCAGGCAGGTGATTAAGAAAAACAAGGGTATAAAAAGGTTCCCCTAGGGACCTAGGGAATGAATGAAGAATGTTGAGAAAAATCATCTTAGAGAGTACCAGGTTTGCAAGACTCTTAGCCTTTTTAAGACTCTGCTTCCCAACTGAGACAGGAATAAACATTGCATCTTAGTATCTACTGAATCTGAGGCTCTACTGCTTTCCTCTCTACTGAAAGAGATAGAAGAAAGAGCCTCAGTTTCTGGTGATATAACAGAAGGAAATTATTCATAAAGAATGGTAAAATTATATGTATGATGACACTTGTTGTGGCGTGTTTCACACTTTGTCAGTATTCATTAAAAGTTTGGAGACACTCAAGGCTTCAGAGCAGGAAAGAAGCTGAGAAAAACAAGATGCAGCCACTCACCAGAAGACGGCATTGAAAAAGGCCAGTGATCGACCCAATAGTAACTGAGAAACACAGGGCAAAGACATAACTATCCTCTGATCAAAATCATATGAATTCTGTAAATGTAGACATGCAAACACTGGACAGAAACGTGGGGAAAATGCAAACTGCCAATTCCCTAGAGCAGTGGGTTTCATGGAGGAATTAACTTTAGACTTTTGGTTTGCATTTGATGTTGACACAATAGTGTCCGCCCAATAAATGCAAGTAAAAAATAAGGAGGGAGAAGAGAAAAGATTCTCTTCTGCCATCTTCCCTTATTTGCCTGAGAAACAGACGCTGTGCCTGGTCCAATGGAAAAGAAATTCCAGAAGGAGGGAAGAGGGAGGCATCCCGTGGGTGAGGGGTGTGTTGGGATCTGTGGGCTTGCTGTCCTGCCCTGCTATGATCAACCCCCACCTCCACAAGTCCAGGCTGAGCATGGAACAGGTGGGTGGGTCAGCCACTGTCCCCACATCCCTGGCCATACTTCGCTGCCCTGAAAATCAGTACCACGAATTGCCATCCAACCATGTCTCTTTTTACCCACATCACACTCTCTACATATTCACCAACCGAACAGTATTTCATGAACATCTGGAACCTGACAACAAACCAGTCAAGTCACTAACCTTCTCCTCAAACTACTTATTTCGTTTCCCCCAGAGAAGCACACTAGACACTTCTCTCTTCCCAGGTTACCTCAACAGGTGACCTAGGGCTAAGCAGCCCAACTCAAAAATTCTTCTATCTTTAATCTTCCTCAGACCCAGAAGGCCGCTCCTCTGAGGTCCAGGGCAGCATATTCTAGTCTACATACCATACAACTTCCGGAAACGCAGCTCTGCTCACCGGAAGAACCCCCACGGACCCCAGACTCAGGGCAAACCTTCTTCTTGACATTTAGGACCGGCCTCCTTTCCCAGCTGAATGCCAGTTGGCCCAGAAACACGCCTGTCGGCTCCCACCACCACACCTTTCCCCTTGCCACTTATTCTGCTCCGAGCACCCTTCCTCTGTCTCTACCTGCCAACACCTGTTCTCATGCTTAAATGACAGCCGACTCCACCTGCAACCAGGGCCTCCCCAGTGATGGCCAAACAAATAGGTCACTTCTCCTTCCCATCCCTGATGACTGTAATGACCTCACATAGACACATGGATCAAGTGCACATTATGGATTTATGACAAAATGTCCCCAATGAGGGAGGCCGATGATATCTATATAAGCAAGCAACAAAGCAAGAATAAATTGCAACTGATGCTGTGAAGGCCTTCAGCATACTCTTGGAACAATCCCCTTACTCCGCCTTACAACATCAAGCTCAAGGCTTTCTCCTTCTCCTCCTCCCTGTTCCCCACCCCACCCACCTGCGTCTCCCCTCTGCCTGGGACGGTGTCTCACAAGTCCAGGCTGTCTGCACAGAAGAGTCACAAATACTCCCTTGATTTTCCTCTTACAACGCAACAAGGTTTTTCCATTTTCTCTTCATGCTTCCTGCTCCTGTGTCTCATTTTCTGTTTGTTGTAAATGTCTCTTTCAATAGTAGGAAAAACGAACAATTTTTTCCTGAGGGAGAAAGATGTCTACAGTAACCCAGCAGATTCCATATGGGGAAAGTGCTAAAAATGCTGCTTTCTTTCCCATCCCCAGGAGCCAGAAATCCAAATGGCAAATCATTTCCGGCTTGAACACTCTTCAGGACTGATGGATGTTGGCTTGGACACTTTCCGGTTGAGTGCTGCTGAGCTGCGGGGACCTCAGAGAGGTCCCCCAGTGGCACCTGAGGGGGGGTGCCCTGCTTTTCCAAGTCCCTTCTTGGCCCTAATAGTGATCAGGGTCTCCCAGTGTGATGAACACACTCCACTAGCTCTCCTTATGAGAGAAGAACCCCAAGTGCCCATGAGGGACAACTATTTAAAGACACCAGCCAGCTACCTAGACTCTCTTTGCGAGGTTCGCTCATTTAAAATGCATCTAGATTTATTGCCTTTGACGTTAACTGCACCAAGTTGGTATGTGTCACATTTGTGGGTTCCATAAGCTATCCCGAGATGTCCAGTGAGCCGAGCGGAGTCAATACACCAGCTCTTCACACAGAGCAGTGGCAAACAGAGTCACATAAATACCCCGCTGTGGAGCAGCAGGGTTGACTCACAGACCCCCAACACATTATCTTGATTTCTGAACAGCAAAACAGCAAGAAGATTTCTTTAGCACATCCCACCTCTAAGTCTGTGCTGACAGGTGTCTGGAAGCTGTGTGTGAGTATCACACGTGAGGTTATATCAAGACAAACCAGGCTTGTTCATTCCATGGGACCAGGGCTCAGCCTCATGGCTCTACCTCAGAAACACCTCCCATGTTTGTACTGGGTGGCTGGGTCCTTCCCTCAGCACCTACCAGCCCTCCCTTTAAGCCATATCAATTTGCCCTTGGTGAATCCTTGCACTGTAAATGTATACCTAAGGACATTTCTGCATGTGCCGTCTCTTCAGATCCTTAGCTATCTAAGGATTTCTCCTTTGCAAGCGTGCTTTCTAGCACATGCTGGGGGTGGACACGGAACAGGATTTCATAGACAACACATTCGGCACAAGGATTGCCTTCTTAGTTTGTCCGAATAAACGTGTGGTCCCTTCCCCCTTCTGCAAATGCTGTCAAAAGCTCAGGACTCCTGGGTTTCTGTGATTAAATCTAGGGGGAAATCACATCTGGGACTGTCTTTTCCTTCTAACAGCACTGAACACGATGAAGGTATCAACTAGTAGTTCTGAAGCCTGGCTAGACAACAAAACGACAAAAAGAGCTTTTCAAAATCTGGATCTACAGGCCCTTTACTCCTAAGGATTCTGTTGCAAATGGCCTGAGGTAGGGCTCAATTCTAGGTAGTTTTACAAATTTCCCCAGGTGGTTCTAATATGCAGACAAGACTGAAACTTCAAGGATCTGAACAATAAGAGGTAGTGTCATATTCTCTCAGTGACTCCATTTTCCCAGCTTTCAGTAAGAATGACAGTAGTATCTCCGCACCTAGCACTGTAGGAGGACTGCTTTCAGAGCACAGTCCTCCTAACTGCTGAGTACAGCATTTGGTCCTATGTGAACTCTTCCTGCTGTTATTATTATCAGTGTTATTCTAGGTCCTTTCTCTTCTTTGACTCTGCATCTGACCAATATCCTTAATCCAACGAAATCACTCAAACACACAGTGGTTCTTAAGAACTAGAGTATTCAATGAGAAGAATCTGAATTCAAATTGTGTTTCAACGATTTGCCAGCAAAGAAACGGTCCTCTGGCCACCCGAACCCCAAAGCATCCATAATTTTGAACAGACAAGCATTTAGTGTGTTTTCATCAAACCAAGTGGTCATTTTCTGACACATCATCCTACTTTCCAGGAAAAAAAAGTGCTTATATGTTTATCTTTTGGCAAATTCCTGAATGTTGTTATCTGGGTCTTACCTGGCGCATTTCCTTATAGCTGTGGTGCTTAAAATCCAGGTCATCGGTGGTAGTCATTTCATTCCGCCGGTGATAATAGTTATTAGGATCTAGGGACAGAAACATGGTTTTGAATTCACTCAACACTCTATCCCTATGGTATCTCTGTTAGGTACTTGATTCATATGGGGACGGTGGGGAGAGCACAGCCCAATCTCTAGCTTCTAACATTGACTCAGAGATGAGGAACAAGCCTACAGGAAGCAACTTCGGAACCTGAACTGCCCAGTGGAGCCAGAATGCCTGGGTTCAAGTCTCCACTTTTCTACTGACATGCATGTGATATTGGGCAAGCCAACCAAGTAATCTGACTCAGTTTTGTTTCCCATAAACAAGGAAAGAATGGTACCTTCCTCATTGGTTTACTGTTAGCATTAGATGGGATAAAATTATGTACCTGGAAAACTGTCAGCTCTAAATAAATAAATGAATATCAAGACTTCACACCTATACATGGAGATTTTTAGAAGTATTTGTGACACTGTTAGTGTCTTACCCAGCATTCAATTCTCTTTCATCTTTCCTAACAGAAGCCCTATGTTTGGAAGTCCTCTCTTCCCACTTCTAAGAAGATCTCAAATTCTTGGCTCTAGGGGTCTATTGTGACTGGTCAATCAGAGCCCAGTGTCCTCTGGCAAGTCTGATTAATCCAGATAGAAGGAAAGGACTTTATTGACACAGAGAAGAAGTAAGGATCTCTCCCAAGCCATAAGAAAGCAGAAGCACACTGCCCAGTCACCGCTGTTGTCGTCTGATCACCAGAGGAGACAGCCTTAGGACCTCAGTGACATGGATGACTCAAAGTAGAAGACAGAGAGAACCTCAGAACACCAAGAGCTACTGAATCAAATAACCCTGAAGCCTAGTCTTCCTTTTGGCAAAATAGAGACTCCCCTTCAAGGCTAAGCCAGTAGAAGCTCAGTTTTCTACTGTGGGAGGTAAAGAACCCTGTTAACAGAGGTGATCTCTGGGGACTGGAATTTGGGTTCAAGAAGGAGAAGACTGCTCTTTGCTTAATTCTCTTCCATAAAAATTTACTTTTCCCTCTCACTCCCTATAAATCTGTAGTGTTTAGATAATCTCAAAAACAAAGAACACATGGAAGAAAGGAGAGGACAAGGGGAAGGAAAAGTGAAAAGGAAGACAGTCACCAAGGGACCACTCAGTCGGCCCTGAAGTCCCCCAGCCAGCCTGATGACATCTGTGTCCAGAGGAAGCAGCTGATCCTCTCAGCCAGCTCAGCACTTCCTCTGACATAGAGAAAACAAGGTACTTTAGAAGGCACACCTACTACCCTAGGAAACCTAGGAACCATGCAGGTGTCCGTTTGACCCCAGTGGCTCCAAGGGCCATTCTGCAGACAGTGGAGATGGCAGGTAATTGAAACCAACTATATAAAATTACCTTCAAGTCCTGAGTCCTGCAGGAGGGGCAAGGTTGATCACCATATTCTTTCTTGAACATGGACCTAAAACTGCTTGAGGACAAAGGCCCAGTTGAAGTTGGGGTTGGAGTTGGGAGACACCTGATGGTCATGAGACTTGTTTTATACATAACATGTATTGTGAAACCTAAGAATGGTGTTTGAGATCATTTTCAGACTTTGAATTTTGGTGGATCTAGACTCCTACCCAGGCCCAGAACACCAGGAAGTCCTTTACTGGTGACCACCAGGAATATAGTCTCGACATGCCCCCATGACATCATCAAGCAATCAACAGTCCCTACCCTTCTGCCCACCAGGTTCCTCTTAAAAACTCCATCTTCCGAATTTTTGGAGAGGCAGATTCGAGAAATTTCTCCTGCCTTCCTCACTTAGCTGTTTTGTGATATTAAACTCTTTTGTCAGTTTTGGGCTTCCTGGGCAGCAGGCATAAGAACTCAGTAACATAGTGAAAGAATGAGCACTTGCTCCCTATAGGAGAAGAGAGGCCCAATCTGATCTGTGCCCCCAAACGTGGCCCATGGGTTAGCAGCGTTGGCTGCTTGCTAGACCTAGCTCTGATCCACTGAGTCAGAGTCCACACTGTAATACAATGCCTAGGCTCGGGAGTTGAGAAGTATTGTGTGATAGTATTGAGCACATGCAGCACATGTTAGATACATCTGCCACCAACTGCCATCAGCTGAGTCAGCCACGTGCCTGTGTCCCTATAGCCATAAGTCACGAGTGCCATGCCCGAACTGGCCAGGGTCCGTGACTTGACCCTTGAGAGTGGAGGCCACCGGCCACAAGTTAAAAATAACATACAGACCCAAACACCGAGAACACAGTTTTTAATAGTCACAAATGGTTTTCCCGTCATACCATTAGAAACAAATAACTGTTAAGGAAGAGAAATAATAGAGCGCGACTGGCTTTCTGTCCAGACAAGAAAGCAAACGCCATTCAGGCCTGGCCACAATCCCTTGTTCTTTCTCAAGCACTTTCCTTTTGGGACTAGGGCTGATGCACCTGGGCAAGCTGCCTCCCTTTGATTTTCCAACCTGCAAGTTTCAAAGCAAAGGTAAAGTCTATTTTTCGCATTCATTTACACTTAACTTGTCCACATGCTGTTTTCTGAGAGCTATTCAACACCCCCCCCCATACACACAAGCCTCAGAGGCCTCTCTTCAAAGAACTTTAAAGCCCCCTTTGTTTTCAAACACTAGTGATGCCTTCCAGGTTCTTAAAAAAGGACTGAAGAAAAACTCAGAGCCCTGAGTACAAAAGAGCTCTAGGTTTGGCAGCATTCTTTCTTCCTTAAGGCTAATCAGATTTCTGAAGGGGATGGGTACAATTTCCAGAATTGTCTCATAACCTCAGGTGAGTAATTTTTACCGATTTCAGTCATCCACCTTTTTTTAACAAATACTCTTTTACTTGTCCTTTATTCTGGCTGGACAAAGTATTTTTTTTTAATTTTTATGGTAAAGATGTAGGGTATAATTTAGGGTTATGAATACAAATGGTCATTGTACAGGCAACGTTTGAGCCTCACAGTGGTCCTGCTTCATCTGGTTTGAGATCAGGTACCCTTAATGATGAAGTGTACCTCCCCTTCCCAGCAGTTTCCCACTACTGCCAATCTCTTTCTTATAGTATTATGATAATTGTTCTGGGTTCACTTATGAGCGAGAACATGTAGTGCTCAGTTCTTTGTTTCTGTGATAGATCACTGAGTATTACGGACTCTATATGCATCCAAGTTGCTGCGAAGTTCGTAATTTTGTCCTTCTTTATGGCTGCATAATATTCCATTGTGTATATGTACCACATTTTTAAAATCCAGTCTACTGAAAAGCTTCTGCAAAGCCAAAGAAACCAACAAGAAAGTGAGGAGACAGCCCACAGAATGGGAAAAAATATTTGCCAACTGCATATCTGACGAGGCCTAACATCTAGGACCTACAAGGAACTCAAACATGCTGATAAGGAAAAAAAAACAAAAACAGCCCTATTAAAAAGTGGGCAAAAGATATGAATAGGCACTTTTCAAAAGAAGACATATGAGCAGCCAACAGATACATGAAAAAATGCTCAGCCTCACTAATCATCAAAGAAATGCAAATTAAAACTACGCTGAGATACCATCTAACTCCAGTCAGGATGGCCATCATCAATAACTCAAAAAACAACAGATGATGGAGAGGATGTGGGGGGTTGGGGGGGAGGGAATGTTTCTACACTGTTGGTGGGATTGTATAAATTAGTACAATCTCTGTGGAAAACTGTGATGATTCCTAAAAGATCAAAAAAGTGACCTCCCATATGACCCAGCAATCCCCCTTCTGGGAATATGCCCACAGGAACTCAAATATTTCTATAAAAAAGATACCTGTGCACACATGTTTATTGTGGCACTATTCACAATAGTGAAAACTTGGAACCAAACATGCTGCCCATTGAAAGTAGACTGGACAAAGTTTTATTGAGAACCTCTTAGGAGCCCAGCATTTAGGCAGAGGTAAATCTACAGAGGCAGTTAGTCATCTAAGCCTGCTATCCCCTTCTTCCTTCTGTGTGCAAGGGAATCCTTTTTGCTAGCAGGGAATCTATTCCAGGTGGTTCCAATGGAATTGGCTTGTCCAACACACACAGGTGTGAGCACGTGACTCACTCATGTCCAGGTAGATAAAACACACTTCCTCTGGCCACTATCACTGGCTCAGAGATGATCCAAGATGAGCCAACCAGATGACTTTTATCCAAAGCTCTAGGAAAAGTTTCTGCTGGAGCCCCTGGACAGTAGGACGTGAGTTTGGGGTGCCAGTCTGTGAGACAGTGAAAAGGGAGCCTTGACCCAACAAGAAGACCCTGAGATGCTAGACCCACTCTTGCCTGAAGCCAAAATCATACCTATCCCTAGAATTTTCATTCAATATGTGTCAAGAATTTCTGTATTTTTTTCCTCAAGATAATTTGAGTAGGACTTCTGACCTTTGAAACAGAAGTCCTGACTAATTTAGGCTACACAGATGGAGTTTTGGCAAATCATTCTCCTGTTGCTTGCATGTGGTTAGTTCTAGATATCACACATACTGAAAACCAGATGATTCCTTCTGCAACACCTTAGTTGTGGGGATATACAAACTCCAGGAATAGAGCCTAAAATAATCTCTCCAACCTTACTTCCCTTACTAAACTACTCAAGCATTCTTCACTGTCAAAACTGATCGACTGATGCCCTGAACTGTATCACCACACCCCGTCCACCAAAAAAAACAAAAACAAAAACAACCAAACAATGATGTGTTGAGCCCTAATACCCAGTACTTCAGCATGTGACCTTATTTGGAAGGTTTTCACAGAGTTAATCAAGTTAAAATGGGGTCATTAGGGTGGGATCTCCTTTAAAGGGGAAATCTGAATACAGAGACAGACACACAGGAAGAATGCCAAGTGAAAATGAAGACAGAAATTGGGGTGATACATTGAGACACTAAGGAATGTCAGACTGACAGCAAACCACCAGAGGCTGAGAACAAGGCCTGGAACAGATTCTCCTTCACAGCTCTCAGAGGGAACTTTTGACAAAAAACCAAGCTCTGTAAAAATTCAGGAAGTGCC